GGCCCGGGGCTATCGCGGGACTGGGGCCCGCGGTCTTGGGACCGGGTCCCGAGATCGTTCCGGAACTGCAACCGACGCAGCTAGGCTCAGGACCCAAAGGAGCCCACAACCCCACTGGTCTGTTCGGCCTTGTGCAAGACGAAGTGGTGTATCGCATGTACTGCAACCGAGACAAGCCTCTGACTGGCGACTTACGTTCGCCACTACGCTTGCTTCGAGACCGACACTGTGCTCAAGAAGAGCCTCTCGGCTCCCAACCCGGAGCATCTCACCGGCTACATCAACAACAAAGGCACAAGTAAGTCCAGCATTTTTCCCCGAACACTTTACTCGAACAAGACTCTGAACCATCGCTCTGTTTATCTTAGACTTTGTGCTGTTTGCCGGTCAGATTGTCACTCTGTCCGAGTCCATCGAGATTCACGTCGAGGTGCCCGACAGAGCCAATGCCGAGCCCAACAAGACTTGCTCCCATGTCAAGCTCTACAACCTGCCCGAATGGAAGCTCAAGTTCGACAAGCAGTCCTGCCCCGGCGACGACAAGCCCATCAAGCTCGACCCCCCTGCGGCCAAAAAGGCCTAATCGGCACGATCTCGGTCTGGCGACGTCCTGTCATGTCGTTCTTCTTTTCACACAAGTTTTGCAATCTTCTTTTTCACACACGTGTTGCATGAGCGTTGGCGCAATGATGTACAGGGAGGCTCGATACAAGTACACAGATCTAAGTGGCAGGGGTTGGGGTGGGGGCGTCGTCCGCGTCGGCATCGAAGCGTGCTCGTCTGCCCGAGCTCGAGGCGCCTGCGTCGATCGGCACAGAGCCCTGCAGCTTCTGCCTGAGCGACAGATACTTTCGTCGCTGCTGGGCCGATACCGACGGCTGGATCTTTGACAGCGCCGCGACGAAGTGCGCCTGAGTCACGAGCACTTTGACGCCTTGGTCCTCGTCTCTTCGCTTCTTGGATCTGACGGGCTCTTCCGTCGCTGGTTGCGAATTGCGGAAGAGGATCGTCTCTCGCAGCGCAAGCACGGCCGCCTCGCGGACCAGCGCAGCCAGATCGGCACCCGAGAAGCCCTCGAGCTTGGTGTCGTACGCGATGGTCGCCAGATCAACCGCATCGCTGAGCGGAGTCTTGGCAGTGATGGTCTTGAGGATTTCGAGCCTCTCGTCGGGCTTGGGAAGGTCGACGTAGAGCAGCTTGTCCAGACGCCCGGGACGACACATGGCAGGGTCGATCATGTCAGGCCGGTTGGTAGCAGCGATGACGTACGTCTGCACACGTGTCTCGAGTCCGTCCAGCTCGGTCAGCAGCGTGTTGACCACCCTGCTCGAGCTTTCCGAGAGCGAGTCGTCTCGGCGTGGCACGAGCGCGTCCAGCTCGTCAAAGAAGATGACGCACGGAGACGACGTGCGTGCGCGTGCAAACACCTGGCGCACCGCCTTCTCCGACTCGCCCACGTACTTGTTCAGCAGCTCGGGGCCCTTGACCGAGATGAAGTTGGCGCGAGACTCGTTGGCGACCGCCTTGGCGAGCAGGGTCTTTCCACAGCCAGGCGGGCCCCACAGAAGAACACCGGACGAGGCCGAGACACCCACAGAGCGGAAGAGCTCGGGTCGCTTGATCGGCTCGACGATCGCCATGGATAGCTCGTCGCGTGTCGAGTGCAGCGCGCCGACGTCTGCCCACGAGACATCGGGCACAGTGGCAAAGCCCTCTCGCTTCGACGACGGTTGCACCGAGGGGAGGGCGACGAGGAAGTCGGCGTTGGTGATGGCGAGCGGTGCAAGCTGGGCATCGCTGAGAGGGTTCGGATGGTTCTTGAGAAACGAGGCGATCGACGAGTCGCGAATGTGCTCCGGAAGCGCATCGAAGAACGTGGCGGAAGGACGGACATTCGACTTTGCCACCAATGACGATGCAGCCTCACCTGTTGGTGTCTGGGTTTCGTCGCCGTCGGCAGCTGCGGGCGTCACCGCCCCTGTGGAAGGCACAGGTGAGTCGACGCTGACCTCCGCGCCGGCCGAAGTGGCTGCGGCAGATGGATGTGCCTGGACGCCTGCGTTTGCTTGCCCCTCCACGTCGGCAGCCGGCGTGTCCGAATCGCCCATGACGACATCGTCGCTCGGCGATTCGGCAGGCTTGGTCGGGTTCAATCCGATGGCCTGGGAGATGCGCTCCGCTGACAGACTATCGGGCAGGGCCTCGGCTTCGCTCAATTGCTGGAAGATGCGCTTGACTGCGATGATACCTGCAGCCGAGGTCAATGCTGTGAGGTCAGCGCCGACGTAGCCCGGAGTGGACTTGGCCAGTGCTCGGAAGTCAAAGTCGCCGGAGAGTCGAAGCTTTTGGGCGAGTACCCGTAGGATCCTGTCATCATCGAGAAGATGGTAGGCGATTGCCCAGAGAGGTCAGTCATTATTGCCCTGCTCTACTTCGATCTGGCAGCTCTGCTCCCAAAGAATGGCAGTCAGCGCCGACTATCGCCGAGGACATGTCGTGTGATCAGGGACTTGAATGGGAGGCCCGAAGGCCAAAACGCACAGGACGGCCCATTGCCGCTAGCGCTGTGTATGTTGTGCATCATGCAAAACACGAGTTTGTCCAAGGCAAATAGCGCGCTTGCCGGCATCGGCTGAGGGAGAGAGTGGGCGGGAGAGTTGCTTACTGTTCGCGACCTTCTTCGTCCGGTACGCCCATGGCGATTTCGTGGTCGAATCGACCTGCACGCCGCAAGGCCGGGTCGAGGCTGTCGGGTCGATTGGTTGCGCCGATGATCATGACGGGCTTGCCGTCGGTCTTTTCCCAGCTAAGATCGTCGAGCGAAGTGAGTAGCTGGGCGACGATCCTGCGCTCCATCTCCCTTTGTGCCGTCTCCCTCTTTGGCGTGATTGCATCGATCTCGTCGATGAAGAGGATGCAGGGCGCGATGCTAGCAGCCTCGTCGAAGGTGTCGCGGATGGTCTTCTCCGACTCTCCTGACGTGCCGGACACGACTGAGGGTGCGGATATGGACAAGAACGGCACGCCGAGCTCGCCGGCGACAGCACCCGCCAGCATGGTCTTGCCGCATCCGGGAGGGCCGTGGAGCAATACACCGCGCGGTGGCTTGACACCGGTGTGGGCATAGATCTCCGGATGGCAGAGAGGCATGGCGATGAGCTCGAGGATCTTTTCGATAGCGGATGAGATGCCACCGAGATCAGCGAGCCTTGTCTGAGGCGGGGTATACTTCTCGGCGGCGTTGACGAGCTTGGAGATGAGACCTTTGGGTCTCTTGGAAGACGACGATGCTGTAGACGAGCCTGCCGCGCCACTGGCCTCGATGCGCGAGGAGCGGGACTTGCGTTTGATCGGGGATGAACTCGAGGGCGCGAGCGAAGGCGAACTCTGCCTTGTTCTTGGTGCGGACCCACTTGCTAAGGGCGAGGCGGCCGCATTGATCTCGGATGGCTCATTGGCTGCAGGCGACTCGCCATTCTGCTGCGCCTGCGCCTGTTGCTGTCTGGCTAGAGCAGCAGCAGCAGCTGATCCGGGAGGAGGGGGTATACTGGATCCAGCCGAGGCAGCCGAAGAAGAGGGTGGAAGCGGGCTGTTGAGCGAAAGTTTGTTGCGCGGATTCGCCCAGGCGCCGGTGATGGAGCGATTCATGATGGCGAAGGGGGCATCGGAAGCCTCCGTTCAGCCTGAGCACCGATCGAAACGGGATGTCCGGCTCAAGCAGGTGGCTTCCAGTGTACTGTAGATGGATGGAAGACGAAGTGTTCGAAGAGAAGAGCGATCAACCTTTGGGACCCACGACCAGGATTGAGACTCTAATTTTTTTTTCCCTCGCTTTTTTTTTTGTTCGTTCTTCCCACCTCTCTCTGAGATCACACAACTCCACACGGCGTTTTGGCTGCGGGCACTTTTCCTCGGGTCCCGGCCGGCACAATTCTACCGCCATGCCTGAGAGGGTCCGAAGACGGGTCTGCGGCAACACGCTGCCATTCCCGTCTGTGATGCACCCACGGACACTCGCTCACATTGCATACTTGGCGAGCATGTGTGAACGTCGAGAGGATGCTGCTGATTACAAAGATGCAGCACTGTCAGTCTCTCAATCTGCGAGGTGTTGTCTTGTACGGCTGCGCGTGAGTCGCGTGGGAGGCGGCTCTTCCGCCGGTGGGGTGGACTCGGCGGGCTTGTCGGCCGCGGGCTTGCCCGCAGCGGAGACCTTCTTGACGACGCGGCTCGGCTTGGTCGACGGGATGCTTTTTGTGGTCGCGACGGTGATCGACTTCTTCCGCGGCGAGCCGCTCGATTTGCTGTCCGGCTTGTCTCCTGTGGTAACCGGATCTGGATTCGCCCGGGCCGCAGAGGACTTTCCGTTGCCCTTGGCAGCCGTCGCTTTCTTTGCAGCGGCGTCTTTAGCTGAGGACGCCTGGACCGCCGCCTTGTCCTTGCTGGAGACACTTGTGCTTGTCGGCGCGCGTTTGGCCCTGGCGGTCGCTGGGCCGCCTGAAGCTGAGGCGTTGCGCATGGCAGAAGCACCTGGTGCAGGCTTGGACCGCTTCCTCGGCGAAGGTTTCGAAGCATCGGACCTCGTCGGTCCGTCGGTATCTGGGTCCTCTGTTGCTTTTGCTCTGCTCCGTTTCTTTCCATTGGCGACTGTCGTCGATTTGGACACGGTTGATGCAGTGATCGTCCTCGTGTTGCTCTTCAAGGATCCCGAAGAAGGCGTCTTTCGGACCACTTTGGCGCCGCCTGGCGGAGGCACGATCCGATCATCGTGCGCTGAAGCGACCGTCTCGTGCGTCGTCGCAACGCTGTTGGATCCCAGCGGGAGCATGAGCGGGGGCGCTTGCGAGGAAGACAGTGACAGTGGCGCCATTTGAGCGGTGGCAGGCAATCTCGCTTGCAACTGGAAGGGGTATGAGCTCGTCGACGCGGAAGCCTGAGAAGCGGCAAAGGAAAACGCAAAGCCGCCGGGGAAGCGTGGCGTCGGCGATATCAATGCGGATGGACCATTGCGCTGCGGCGTCACCCCGGGTATAAATGCGTAGTTCTGGAGGCCGGTGGGCGGCGGCGTTGGAGGCGGCTCTGGCTTGGCTTCTGCAGCAATTGTCGAAAGTGGCATCGCAGCCAGAGGGGAGCCATTGCTACTGGCTGTGTTCAGACCCACAGAGGTGTCTATTGGTTCTTCTTTGACTGCTGTGACCATCGCGCTCTGAGAGCCTGTGACGGATGCACTGATTGACGAGGTCTGCGAGACCGGTGTGGTGTTTGGAACATGCGGTTCGAACGCGTGGCTAGGCACAGGTAGCTCCTGAAGGATGCGGCGCTTTGCAGCCAGATCCGCGTTCGAGGCCTTTTTCGTGACTAGCCGTCTGGCCGCTGCAGGCTCGAGCTGCGTCTGTCGAGCTGTCTGCGATGCCGCACTCCGGCTGGGCGCAGCAGGCTTGGAGCGGCTCGAGACTGTCTGAGATGGAGGCGGCGGTGAGGGCGGCTTCCTCTTTCCCTTGCCTTTCGGCGATACCGAGGTGCTTTGGACCGAGTCGGCCTGAGCCTCGAGCGGTGGGTTGAGAGGTGCTGTGCTCAGTCTCCTCTGAGCGGACTGTGGGGCTGCAGAGATAATGCCATGGAGGAGCGTAGTGCAGCTATCGGTGACCGGAGCCAGGAGTGATGCAATCCAGCCGGAGAGGGCCAGTGTAAGACCAATGATGGCATCGATGATGTGCTCGTATGGCCGGACTAGGGGCGCAAGGAACCGGTAGACCAGGATCGACGCTCCGTAGCTCCGCGTGAAGAGCATCCATACGAGGAACAGCGTTTTGAAGGAGTCATAGAATGGAACGAACCAGGAGATGGTTCGATCGCAGACCGCCTCGAGCTTGTGGAAGAGATTCCACACCAGGATTGTTGTGAGCGCCGACCGAACTGCTGCCTTGCGTTTCGAAGTGCCGACCCGCCGCCGGGTGGCTGCCTGCCTCGATCCATCCTGCGCATTGCGCACAATGACCGTCTTGTGCTCGTTGCCAATCTCTGAAAGCCTAGCCGAGCCGAGCGCGTCGTATGTATCGCGTAGATCGAGCAGCAATATGACCGATTTGAGCAGCAAGTTGATGAGGCCCATGATGATGGAGAGGACCGCAGCCAGCCAGGCTACGACCGTCGAAAGGCCTTGGCTGTTTTGCTACCAAGTCCTAGCAGGGCACGTCCGATAAGGTCGACGGAGTCACTCCGAGCGAATAGCGCTGACAAGACGGCATCTAGCGTGCAGAGCGTGAACTCGGACGTGCGGCGAGGTTCGGCCCGCGACCGTGGAGCAGCTTGCAGGAATGGTCAGGGCCGGACTGCGGACTTGCCAGGCTTAACTCCGTGCCCAGCTTGCAGCTTGGTCTGGCTAGCTTTCCGGCCGCGAAGGGTTCGACGGAATGGTCGTTGATCGAGATGTGAGGGCAAAGCTCGAAGGATGTTGCCTCTCTGAAATGAACTCGGTGTGTTGTTCTCCACAAAATGCGCTATTCCACCTTCTTCTGGCACGCGTCATGATCTTTCCAAGTGAAAATACAGCTATATAATGGCAATCATCAGCTTGACCGATATCTACGGCTCCATAGCTCAGTTGGTTAGAGCGTAG